TGTCCATCCTAAAACACTTAAATTAAATTAGACAAATACACATGATGTGCTGCCTTGACTAAGTACCTGGCACTGTATCAGGAATGAATGGGAATGCCAACACGGGAAAAACACAGACCTGACAACAGAAAGGTTCACAATTTAGTACGCGAGGGAGGGCAAGTACAGAACGATGATGAGAGCAATGCAGAAATAAATAATGAAAACCAAGACTGATTGTGATTGCAAAATGAGAAGCACAGGATGCTACAGGTTTTCATTGTGTGTTGGGGGAGGGGTCGCACTCTTGTATGTTTGGAAGAGTCAGAGCACATGATCAGTGTGAGAGCTGTCCTTGCAGCTGTGTTGAAATGTCCTTCATGGCCCCCAGCATGTGATCAATATTTACCAGCATATTGTGTGATTGAAAACAATGTGTGAACCCTGCGAATGTTGGAAAAGCATTCTATATGTGTATTAGATAAAGACTGTTCATTGTATTTGAACACTGCATGTTGCATCCCCTTCTTAAACACTTAGCCCTTTGGGGTTTTTTGTCCTTTTGATCAGAGACTGAAAGCAGTACCTGGAGAGCTCCCTGGGGTTGCACATTCACTCCTTCGTCAGTACAGTTCTGTGAGTTTGTACTTTAAATATTTTGATTTTTTTTAAATTCACTTAAGTTAAAAATTTTCATCTAGCAAATACCATCTTCGTGAAGTGGTTCTTTTTTAGTATGTTAGCAGGTTTCTTTTGATTAGGATTTTCCTTCTATACGTTTTCTCATCCTGTTACTTTCTAGTTTTTTAACAACTTTGTATTTAAAACAAATGCCTTATAAACAGTTCTGAGCTGATCTTTTTGGAGAAGGATTATCATTATGCAAGTCTAACGATGTTAAGTGGTTTCATTCAGCCCATTTAGCTTTATTTTAAAATGTATATTTATAATACACATATATATTTATTTACAATATATTCACATATATGAGGGAGAACTCCCCAAATTGGATTTATTTATAAAAAATTGTGTATTCTTACGTGTTTCAACTTCAGTCACCTTCAAACTACTCTCTATTTGATGCAATATGCTTATCGAGATGTTTTTTCCACTGCTCAGAACAGTTTTTGAACTTGAACTCATCTGTTCTGATGCCTTTTAGTGCTTTTGCTATTTTTTTGTTTCACCTCTTCCACATTGTCAAAACTTTTCCCTTTGAGGACTGTTATCATCCGGGGAAACAATAAAAGTCACACTCGGGAAGATCGGATGAATAGGAGGGTAGAGCGTGGGGGTCACGCTGTTTTGGGTCAAAAACTGCTCAGGAAAGGCGCGCTTATAAATCACACATCATGAGATGGGCAAGTGCATTGAAAGAGTTTTTAAAAAAATGAAGTTTCACTGAGTCAAACAGCCTCTCACAACAACACCAGCTGGCACGCTGATGCAGAGGGGTTCCTGGAACACTCGCCCAGCGGGGGGAAGCCCGTACTACAAGGGGTGTGCCCTCCAGAGCATGAGTCTGGTTTTCTGAGGTTTCCCCATGTACATGTGTAGATGTACGTGGCTGTTTTTCAACATGTTATTTTTTGCTACTTTTCTCCCATTTATTGTATAAATTATCCTTTCTTTTTTACTTCTTTTGGATATTGAGTACTTTTATTAGTTCACATTTTTGTCCACTACCTTGTAAAATGCGTGCTGTGCTGTTAATATTTACCTGAGAAACTTCAACACTTATAAATTTATCAATGTTTGTAATAAATCAATACCCTTACCCTTCTCCCAAACCATAGCAAGAACTTAGGACAATTTCACTACACTCAAGCAGTTCACAGTATATGCAGCTGTTGTTACATATGTTAATGTCATCTTTTAAAAATCTGCATATGTATACCATTAGGTATATTATTATTGTTTTATATCAGAGTTTATTTACATGTATCCATATATTTTATTCCTTATTTCTCTTCATTCATTTTCACATTAAGATTACTGGTAATTTACCTTGGTTTAAGTGAGATGCCTCAGAATTCCTTTTGATGTCATTCTGCCGGTTACAAATTCTTCTTTTTTCCTGAAAATGTTCTATTTTGTTTTGGCTTTTGAAAGCTATGGAAGGGAATAATATTTAAACTAGAAATTTCTTTTCAATTAAAACTTCTAACTTTACATGTTACCTATGGGAAGTTGAATATCAATGTAATTACCATTTTTTTGTATGGGCCTGGATCTTTTTAAATATCTCTGTGCCTTTGGTGTTAGAAGTTTTTGAAGTTTCTAGGGGAAATCCTTTTTCTTTATCTTAATTAGTACTTGTCAGACATCACTGATACATGAATCTGTGTCTGCTATCAATTAAAGATGATTCTAAGCCATTAACATTTCAAATATTTTGTATGTCCCTTTCTCCCTTTGCCCTCTGAAACTCTAATTAGATGTTTACGATATATGCCTCTTTTTTAATTATTTGTCAATTACCCTATCATTTAGTTCAGGTGCAATATCTATGAATGTATGTCTAAAGCTAGGGTTGCTGTATTTTAGATCATTTCTTCATATATTTATTTCCATTTACTAATTTTCTCCTCAACTTTGTCACATTCATTGACTTTTTAATTTTCATTATTATAATTGTCCCTTGTAGAAGTTCCTTTTGTTAACTAGAAATGTAATTTTTGCACTTTTATATTAACTTTCTTTAAAACATCACATACGGTTAGTCTGCAGTCTGTGTATGATTATTTCAATACAAAAAATGTTACAGATCTATGCTCGCTGTTATTTTTTTCTGGCTCTTTTTATGATGCCATGTTTTCTTACTTGCTTAATGCGTCTGGAATGCGACCTACTCCTTTTCTTTCAAACATTATCTATGAGAATTCTCTGAAGCTTGAGATGAAGGGGATTCTTCCACAGAGATGTAAACATATTTGATTCTCCCAGTAACCTGGTCTGCACTCACAATTTAAGACCCCTTCGAGCTACTTTTCAGGGGGCCCAGCTTCTAAGAACATGGCTGAATACTTGAATGAGTCTCATCTAGTAATTGCAAACAACTGGGGCAAATTGTCCCTATGTTTCCAGCACCAAAGTAACATGTGTGAGAAGAACATGTAAGGCGAAGCGAAACTCCTACTTACATTTAGTCTCCTCTTTTGGTTTATTTCTGGTTTTATTTGTTTTTTTTATAATGTATATAAGATGTTACATGTGTACCCATGCTTATATGTATGTGCGTATGCCTTCGAGTGCAGTCTGCTCTAAAAGTTTTTTGTTTTTTTGATTTTTTAACAACAACAAAAAACTTGTTCCTCCAAGTTTGGAAATGACTCCTGTAGCAATGGGAAGCTACAGAAAGGCAAAAGGTACAAAATATATATGGTCAGCTTTGCCTTTTAGAAAGATGATTGTTAGCAGTGTGAAAAGTGGCAGGAATGTCTAAGACTGAAGATGCGGAAATAAATGAGGAAGACACGACAACAGCCCACGCAAGATGTGACGCCGGCCCGCAGTAAAGCCAACACCGGGGATGAGAGCGGATAGGAGGAAACCGGACGTGTGCTCAGAGCAGCCTAGCCAGCTTTCCCAAAGGAATTTAACCAATGAACATACTCGTCGATCGGTTGTGTATTTGTATTATTCTTGCCTTGTCCTGTGCCGTGGAGGAATTCTGTGAAAAACGTCAGTAATTTAGAGAGACCTTTGATCATACTCAAGTCTTCGTAAGTTTAAAAAAGTTCCCTATAGTTAATTGATGGCATTTATATATCTTAAAAGATTTGGAAAGATTATAAGATCTGAAAGCTTCTGTAGATTGACGTTTCAAAAAAACATCAAAGTTTATTACACATAAGAATCAAGTAGTAAAGTGCAGGAAGGAAATTTATGTATTGTGATATGTATTGGTATACGTTAAGATTTCCGAAGAGATATTACTATTATGTCATTAATGAATTATAATTTACAATTTCTGAGATATGTGTGTGTGAATTCATATACATGCATGTCCATATATTTACATTATATTCAGATGTACACATTATATATATACACACAATAAAGGTAAGTAAGCCTTTCACTTACAGTAAGTTCCAGCCAGCTGAGCGACACAATCACGTCCTCATCCTGGAGAAATACTGAATTAGGGGAGCCAGTCTTACTAGATGGATATTTAATGACTCATTAATACAGTTTGGAATAAAACACAGAGTTCAGAGATACAGTCCTTGTCCTCAGGAGATTTGTAGGTTACAGAAATTAAGCCTCATGCTAGTTTCCCAGCTAGACATTCATACTCAGTCATTTAATAGGATTTTTATTCTTCAGGCAATCCTGTGTGTCCCGTAAAAAATGTGGCCATACTTTCTCTTGTTCTCCTTAAGAGTTATTCACTGTTTGATGTGCCTGGTAGGCAGGAGATTCACCATCTACGTTTGCTTCAGGGAGGGATTGTTGCTGGTGGCCGGTGGTGTTGACCGTAACAGCCTTCAGCAGTCACTACCTTCAGGGTCTCTCCTCCGCCACAGGAAAGCCCCTGCCTGAGGTCCTGCTTTTCTCAGGGTAGTCCAGGAACTGACCTCTGGGGGGTGCCAAAGGCCAGTCATTTTGACTCACTGAGGGACAGTTCTGACCTACCCTCTGTACTTGAGTTTTCCCTGCATTTGGCCAAAGCTTCCCTGAGCTTGCCTCACAGTTTGATTTCTCTCTTTGCCCAATCCTCCTCTTAGCTCCTCCCTTCCTAGGGTGTCAATACCTGATGAATATCCTGAACTCTGCTCAGTGACGGCTTCTAAACATCACAATCTATAACAGCATAAAAATTAGAAGTGGAAAGTGGTTATAAGATGGAAAACAAAGTCGTTTCTCTTGACATTTGACTTTCCTTGTCTAATGTTACTGGGATGTAGATTATTTTATTTCAGGTATATATCATGCTTTCAGATGCTTACTTCTTCAAAGCGACACAATGGACTGTAACTTCCATCAGCTTCTGTAGCCCCAGGTTTGGAAGTCATATTTCAAATCCCATTGCTTTTGTTGTAACCCCTTCTCCAGTGACTCAGACCAATGGGTGTCGGGCATGTCTTCTGTGGCAGTCAAGTTGGCTCTGCTGGCACAGGGGGTGTTATCTTCTTTGAAATCTGTCCAAGAAGATCAAAGGTAGCTGAGATTTTCATCTTAAACCACAGATTATGAGTCAACTAGGGTTGACCTAAGACACACATCTCATGTGTGTTTAGTCATAGGATGAGTCAGGGATCTAGTTGTGGGCAGAGTTAGAGTTGGGGTTCTTGGCTCACCATATCAAAAGCTTCAAGTTCTCTTTCCAGAGGGGAATATGCAAGCATTGGGGGGGGGGTGCATTTTTGGTTTTGTTTGTCCATTGTTATGTTTTTCCTCTCACTATCACCAGACAAAGATACTAATTGCTTCAAAAATAAACTTAAAAGCTTCCAACAAGCTAACATTGAGGACAAGTCATCAAAGGGATGTCTGCCTCCTGCATGTTTAGAGGTAAAATTGATATTTTATAGCTAGGGGAAGAGAAAAACAGGGCAATGAAGTGCTTTTCATCCCAGATCACAAACCAAGTGGGTGGTAAAGCTAAGACTACAACTCAAATACAGTGTGTAATGCTTAGCCATACCACAGTGCATTCACTCAGACTTTTTTGGTTGACTAGTATTGATGTAACCAAAAGCATCTCTTCAAAATTCCGCATTTCACTGTTATTTACCAGGCACCTACTATGTGCCTGGCAAAGATTGAAGAAACCATATAAAGTAGTGAATCGCACAGACAAGTTTTTGTTGTAAAGGAGTTTACTTTCTGGCAAAGATCAATTTTCTGCTAAAAATCACTTATATTGTTCATAAATCACTGCTTAAACACAGAAGGCAATCAAAATGCAGCCTTGGCTGTCCTTATTGTGCTCTACTCTAGACTGATGTTTCTCTCTAGGTACCAGCTCTATCCCATTGGCATGAGGACTCGTTTCCACCTATGTTAGTGATGGCCACAGCATCCCCGATCATCTTTCTTGGTAACTGTGCTTGAATATGGGGACCACTCAGTCACAAGGAAAATGTTTTTATTCAAGGAGATTTTGAGTTGGAAGAATGGCGATGGAGTGGGCCATTTTTCCTAAATTAACGTAATATTTACATTGCAATATCAGTTGAGCCACTAATTCTTCGTTTGCACATGTAGCAGGTAAGTTGTCAGAACAGCAGTTGCTCAACTTCTAGTCCTTAATGAATTGTCAAGGGTGAGCAGAGCTCAGTGAAGGAGATTCAAGGAATCACAGACTCCACAGAGCACAGAGTACAATAGTTCCTCAAAACATCATTTTTGGACAGATCTTGCTATTCACATTTTATTGAGCCCTGTGTATTTCCTCCATATCACTTAGCGCAATTAGAATGAATCACATTTAATTACTTAAAAAAATATTTTCCTCAGTCAAGCATGGTTAAGTGGTTGACAACAAGGACTCAGAGCCAGTCTATAAAAGCTGATATCCTGCTTCCACTACCAACCAGCAGTGTCGCCCAGGACCCATGACTCAACTCCTCTGGTCAATTTCTTATACGTAAAATAGGAAGACTAACACCTTACTCATAGAGTTTTGAGACCTTGATGAGTTAATATTTATAAAGTACTTAGAACAGTGCTTGGCATATAACAAGAAAGTCACTACCTAAGCAGTGAATAAAAATAGTATATACCCTTTCTACTAGTAACAGGAAGAGGAAGCACGTGTTTAATGACCGCTCATATTCTCCCCTGTAGCTATGGTGGCATGGGGACTTGTTCGATAAAGTATTACCATTTAATGAAGAAATACATGAAAGTTTTGAGGCCAAAGATATAACAAGGATCTATTCAATACCATACATTTTAGTGCTCTAGATTCATCAATAGTATCATAAGGCTAGTGCTGCTATGGATTCAATGTACCTCCCTTGTAGCTGCACCAACATCGATTCATTTGACATGGCAGAAAACCTGCAATGTAAGAATCAAATCTGCACCACACAGGTTAGGCAACCGAGGTTTCAAAAGGCGGAGTAACTTATCCATGATCACAGCAATAGTTGGAGCAGAGCCTATGATCAAATCCAGGTCATTTTGATGCTAAAGTCTGTATGCTTTCCATGCTACACAGTCTTAAATCAACAGAGTGCTTGATGATACCAAGTAGGGAAAACTGAAATTCGCAAAGAAAACTCACAAGGGCATAAGAAAACCAAAATTCTAGGCACTGATGTAAGAATTTATCTTTCAAAATATATCCCATCTCCTATGTTGCCTCCTAAGCAAACATGAGGCCCAATAATTTTAGCAATATTTCACATTGCTTTACCGATGTCAGTTCATTGCAAAACTAGAGTCTAAGTTTGAAATCGTCTGTAGTTCAGTCTGTAAAATATACTTAAGCAAACTATTAGTACTGATGAAGTTCAGGATTAACAAAAAATGCACATAAAATAGTTTCCCAATGAGAAAGTGAAGAGAGAATCACTTTAATGGTGCACACTTGGAATAAAACCAAGTTAAAAATCATTAAATCCTTAGTCATAAACCATGATGTATAAATGACAACTCATAGGCCATATATATGCTTAGATTTACAAATTTGGAAAGGGAGGATGAGCAGAAGAGCCCGGGCAGTTGTTGCAAATGACGCAGAACTACCAAAGGAACCCTCGGAACTCACTGCACAAAATGTCAGGGAGGACGGAAATGGCTTCATGACACGTCTCATCTGCCCTCCTGAGCTGAGTCTGCGTACCGTTACATTTCATTGTTCTATAATGTCTGGTAATGGGGTTATAGTAGGACATATAGAGCAAAGGGCAGCAGTAAATACAATGCAATGCAATAAAAATACTGCTTCTCAAAAGCACAAAAAACTGCTCTTACTTCTAACCAAGACCCAGGACACAGATGCAGGGGGATCTTGGGGAAGAACAATGCATCAGCTATGACTACCACCTGAGGGGTAGTGTCACCTCATTAAATAGCTCTGATCTAATCTTTCATTGTTTTTTTTTCTTTTATTAATTCTAGATTGAGGGGAAGGGAGGAAGAGAGAAGGGAAGAATCACCAATGTGAGAGAAATATCGATCCATTGCCTTACACTTGCCCCAACTGCGAACCAAACCCGCAATCCAGGCACATACCCTGACCGGGAATCAAATCAGGGATCTTTCGATCTGTGTGGAATGGCATTCAACCAACGGAGTCACACTGGCCAGGACAGCTCTGACCTAATCTTTCTCATTCCATAAAATATCTCCAAGCAAATAATTCATGTTCAGCTGATCACATCTGGAGGTTAAATGCGTACCCCTCTGTTTAAAAACATCATTCGAAATCCTTTGCAGGGGACAATCACTCCTTAAGATCTAAAACAAGCCAGAGACAGAAACAGGGAAAACACAAAAGTCTTTTTCCTTGTTTGTCTTATTTGTAACTGGATCTCCTTTTTGTCTTGTGAGTTGCTTTGTCTGCTTCGCTTCCATTTAAAAGCTGTGCATTTACAGCTCACTGACTATGGTATAAAAACACACTTTGTTTTATTGCCGCACAAAATCAACTCTTCACAGCAACTGAATGGCAGGAAGGCAAATTTCAAATTTAGTTATAGCAATTGACCAAGGATTCCTATGGTTCCACCAAGTTACACCCTCATTTACTCATAAGGACTCTGGGAGGTGTTGGAAATGAACTTGGTTACAGAGAGGCGATGGGTGACAGAGCACCAGGCTGAGGCTGGCTCTGGCCCAGAGAATGGCATTTGAGTCTCACCTGTCCCACTCATTGTTCCTGAAAATTCATTGGAAGGCTGTACAATTTAACTAAAATTTCAGTTCTTTCAACCATAAAAATGAGAGGTTAAACTAGATGACCCTAAGGACATGTTCCAGGTTTTGCCTCCCATAAAAATAAAGCAAGCACATGGAGTCTGTGGTTAGAGCTGATAAATGGAAGACCGACTCCATTTGCAAATGACCCAGAACCTGGAATAAAACACAGAGAGAGGAGAAACAGACTTAGGGAAGCAAAGGCGAGTGGAAACGGCAGCTGTCATTGAGATGTTCTAATTAGGAAACCATCAGAGACGGACTCTTATGGAATTTCTTCTATCCAGACGCATTTTGTCCAAGTATTCAAAACTCTTTTCTCACCACAGACCTAGGAGGTAAGTGCTGACCCATTTTGCATAGGAGGAGAGCATTCCTTAACACGGGGGTCCCCAACCTCTGGGTCACTGACTGGTACCGGTCCGGGCCTGTTAGGAATCAGGTCACACAGCAGAAGGGGAACTTTTTAAATGCAATGCACCTGAATCATCCGGGAACCATCCCCCCTCCATCTGTGGAAAAATTGTCTCCCACAAAACCGGTCCCTGGTGCCAAAAAGGTTGGGGACCGCTGCCTTAACATGTCCAAGGCGTCTTTGGAAAGACAAATTTACATCAGGGTCTGTCAAGCCCAAAAAACAAAAGAAAGTGCCTAGAAATTTACATCAGGGGCGGTCAAGTTCAAAAAACAAAAGAAAGACGTGTATTTTGAAACAAGCAAGCCAAATCAAACAAAAAAGACAGACCCGAACTCACAATTTTGTCAAAAAGCAGCATGACCCTCTTTCACAGAAAGAGAGAGAGAGAGAGACAGGGAGAGAGACAGGGAGAGAGAGAGAATGCACACTTAAGTCTTTTGGAAAGCCTTCTGAGCAAACAAAAGTACGTGTGAGTGCTCCAGGGCTGAGGAGTGTGGCCACGGTGGAATGTTGTGGCGATACAAATTACAGAGAAGATACAGGGCTTTTCATCGGGTGCCCTCACCCGCAGATGTCTGGGGGATGAGAGTGGGAGTCCCTGCCAGCCACCCGGCCCTGCAGTTCTGACACCCTGTAATCGTTTGTTAGATTCATAACCTCCTTCGCCGTCCTCATAGGGCCGCTGTATTTGGACACATTTCACTTGGGAAAAAAAAAAAGTCACAGCGCAATTAATTTTGCCTCGAGAATTTCACAATATCCTTTGAGATCACAATAACCCCGAGGATATTGTGCAATTGGGGCTGGGAATCTCTTGCCTAAGTTAGAACTTTGTGAAGGGAAAAAAAATCG